TTGTCCATTTCGTATATATATATATATATATATATATATATATAATATATATATATATATATAGTCTTAAGGTGTGCTATATTTATGGAATAAAGTGCTCGATATCAGAGATAGAGCGTGTGTAAATATAAAAGTAAACATAGAAGTCAACACTTAGAGGCGACAGTCTGTTTCATGCTATATGCAATCGTCAGGCCACATATGCTGTTATTTTTCTCGGCTATTTATATATATGCGGGTTAGTGGTGCATTGTGGGTATTCTATCATGCCGGTTATTTTACCGGAAGTCGTTTGTTTATTTATTTGGGTCAAATTATATTGCTTGTTTTTATTTTTATTTTTTTGTTTCTTATTTTATTTATTTATTGATTAACGTAGTAAAAATTGGTTTATATCACTTATTTAACAGTTTTGTTTTGGTTTGAGAATTTAATTAAAGCTATTTGTTCAATTTTTGGGGTTGATTGTTGTAGTTTATTCTAACTATTATTTTAGCGGGAACAGTTTTTAATTGATTATCTTTATTTGGGATTGGTTTGTTTATTTATTTATCCCAAATAAAGATAATCAATTAAAAACTGTTCCCGCCAAAATAATATAGATCCGATCGTCTTTTCATGTTGACTTGAATATCGTCTAATGTTAATGTTAATTATGTTTTAATAACTATCTCCTGAAGAAGGTTTACTAGACCGAAACGCCTGACGTCGACATTGAAATAACAGTAAAACAGCATATTTGCATATTCGGATTTTTGTTTTTCCATATATTTTTCTTCATATATATATGTATATATATATATATATATATATATATATATATATATATATGATGAAAGCGGATACTTTGGAAATCCATGGTAATATTTTATATCGATATATCAAATCCATCTCGTCTCATCAGACCAAACAATTTTACATCAATAAACGAATTTTAAATTTATCAAGGGACAAGCGAAAAGAAAATGTTTTTTCAAGAATAATATGGGAGGATATAGATTTTAAGGTTTTAATATGGGAGAAAAGGAAAGAGAGGGAAAAAATATGGAAATATATGTCTAGATAGATGGAGAAGGGTGAGTAAAATGGGAAAATATAGATTTTAGAATAGAGTTTTAATATGGTGGAAGGGAAAGAAAGAGAAAGGGGGCGAAAGAGATGGAAATATATATGTCCAGAGAGAGAGATGGGGGGAGGGAGAGTAAGATAATGAAAGGAAGGGAAGTAGTATAGAAAATGCTGACGGGTTGATCTCTGTTCTTACATTGAGCTCTCTAGATTTATATCCTTTTTGGAATTATCTATACTAATTATCAAACAATATTATATATATATATATATATATATATATATATTTTAAGCATCCCACCCCAAGCAAGGCGGGAAGCCACTAGCACTCAAGGGGTTACAGAGAGTTGGAGCGAGAGCAAAGAGGAGTGATAGATAAAAGGATGAAGAGAAAGTTAGGGTATACATCAGGGTGTCTGGAGACGTCGATTAATATTACATTTGAATAGTTGGAGATTATAGTTATCAGGAAAACAAGAAATGGGGAGAGTGTTCCACATGCGAGAAGTGCGAGACATGAAGCTATTGGAGTAGAAGAGACGGTTACATTTAACAGTTTCGACAGTGAAAGGGTGAGAGCGAGATGACAGCCTAGTTGAACACTTAAATTCATGAAGTCTGAGAACCAGCGAAAGCAGCTCATCGGAGCAGTTACCGCGAAAGTATTTGTAAAAAAGACAGAGGGAGGCAACGGCACGCCTGTCAGAGAGCGACTGCAGACGAGATGCCAGATCAAGGCCAATTACATTGTATATCCGTCTTTGGATTTTATCAAGGACCTTGAGACAAACAGAAAGGTCTCCAGACCATATATGGCAGCAATACTCCATACAAGGGCGAATGGTTGATTTGTAGATTTGAATGATTGACTCCGGCTATAATATTTCCTGGCGCGACACAGGGAGCCGACTTTCCTTGCGGTGGACGAAGCCATTGACTCAACGTATTTGTTCCATCTCAGGTCATGTGAGACCGAGCAGTCGCAAAGAGGTGCTCTCGTGGAGTTGAGCGTCAGACATTCTAATGGGAGGCAGGGATGGTTCTCTCTGGATATATATATATATATATATATATATATATATATATATATGAGTGAACACTGAGTTCAATAGCGAGTGGCTACAGTCTGTTTTATGCCTGAAAGCAATCTTCAGGACCCTGATGACATCAGTGTCTACTCTTATATTTACACATGTTCTTTCTAGAATATTGAGCACTTTTTCTCGTAAATATAGCATAACTTGAAACTATAACTTTGTTTCCTGAAAGAATTACAACTTTCCCAAGCCAACATATACATCCAGAAAAAAATCAAAAAAGAAAACGGTTAAATCCATTACCTCATGTTTTTCAAGATGCACAACACATACGTCCTGATCCCAATTTAAAACAATTTATTAAAAAATTTTTTTTAAATATTTCTTGAATATTACTCGCTTACGCTTGCCTTACCAGACTTTGAATTATAGCACATCGTGTCATCCACACGTTTTAACTGACATTTCAAACACATGATGAATATTCATGAACGTTCTCAAATTTAAAAGCCTTGATAAACCAGTAACATCCTTGTTCTTGCATATAAACACGTGCAACAAAATAAATCTTATATTTGCCTTGATAAAGTCTCTCAGAGGACCAAACGCGTCGGCTAAGATAAGTTTTTCCTCATGTCTTTTTATTCATTTTGTTCCTTTACAGATATGCTGTATCGGAAAATAATTTATACGTATATATATATATAATACACACACACACATACATATATATATATATATATATATATATATATATATATATAAAGCATACATTTTGATGAATTTGGCGCATTTACACATCTCTTTCCACAATAATGTTTTTTACTGATGGACAAGCATTTTTTAAATCCATTTTAAAACATTTGTTTAACTTCTTTCTTTCTTTTTTAATCAATAGAATGAAAGCAAATAAACGAAAAAGAACTTTTATCACAACAAAAAATACGCCCAGACAATAAATTAGTTTACAGACCGAAAAAGCTTTCTAAATACGACGGGCATACAAACAAAACGTCAATTCAACGTTTTTCTTTAAAAGTCTTTCATGTTACTTAAGTGAATAAAACTAGGAATGGTAGTTTATAACAATTTATTTCCTAAAATTATAGACTAATTTATTTCTGATATTTACTGAATAATGTAAGGCCTGCAAATATTATTCGGTTTCCAAGTTATGTCTGAATCGGGAAATAGAAAATCCACATCAAAGGATAAAATGGATGTCGAGGAAATTCTATGCTGTAAGATTTTTACCGCCATTTCCTTCTTTCGTTGTTGTTTGCTTGGTTGCTTAACTTTTACTTTCTATCTCTGAGGTTTTCTATCTTTATCTTACTTCGTTTTAGTTAGTTCGTTCTTGCTTGCTTGTTTACTTGCTTGCTTGCCTTCATAACTTTATTTTTTTTTTACCTTTCTTTCTGCCTTGCTTATTTTCTTTCTTGCTTACTGTCTTTCTTACTTCCTCGCTTGATTTTTATTTTTATTTCTTTTTACTTTCTATCTTCCTTTTTACTTGATTTTTTCTTTCTTTTTACTTTCATTCTTTTTTAAGCTATCTTTCGTTTTACCTTCTTACTTTCTTTCTCTCCTGATTTTTTTTTCTTTTTACTTTCTTTTTTGACACTTTCTTTATTACTGCTTTCTTTGCTTCTTTCTTGATTTTTTTCTTTTTTGAATCTTTCTTTGTTTCTATATTCTTTCTTTCTCTCTTGATTTTTTTCTTTCTATTTTGAATCTTTCTTTCTTTTTACCTTCTTACTTCTTTCTTTCTTGTTTTTTTCTTTCTATTTACTTTATTTCTTACTTTATTATTTCTTTCTTTTTAATTTTTCTCTTTTTTACTCTTTCTTTCTTTTATCTTCTTTGCTCTTTTTTCTAGATTTTTCTTTTTTTACTTGCTTTCTTGTTTTTTTCATTACATCAACTTACGTGCAAATAAATCAATCAACGACAGAAATAATATTTTTTATTTTTTCATATTACTACAGATTAACATCTCTCCGGATCATGAACACACACACACACACACACATATATATATATATATATATAAAACAAACAATTTTTAATTTACTGAATTTTCTTGATTTTTAATTTATTTTCAATTCTTTTCTTATCTTTTTTTACTTTATTTCATTCTTTTCTTTTACATTCTTTCTTTTTTCTTGATTTTGTTTTTTTTTATTTTTTTATTTTTTACTTTCTTTCTTTTTCTTTCTTTTACATTCTTTCTTTTTTTCTTGATTTTCTTTTATTTTACTTTCTTTTTTCTTTCTCGTTTTTTTTTTTCTCAGTATCTGTCTATATTTCTGAGATGAGGTATTATGCACACTATTTACATTGTTCGAACTATCATCCTCATCTTTGTCGCCATATTTATCACAACTTTTCGGCCGTTGTACGCTCCGGCCTTCTTCAGGTGGTTGGAATGCCGAACTGAACCCTTTATTTCGTTCGCTAGAGTAGACTGTTCTAGTTCCACGTGCCATGTCTAATGGATGTCATCAGTTATCTCCTGTTAATTCCCCTCTCCAAGTTCTCCACCGCCTTAACCAGGTATTGAACTCACACTATTTGGGTCCTGTCACTGGATCTAACTAACGTCTTTATCCACTGTGCCGTGTGTCAAGGCGGTGGAGAACTTGGAGAGGGTAATTACCAGGAGATAATTGATAACTGGCATCCATTAGACATGGCACGTGGAACTAGAACAGTCTACCCCAGTGAGCGAAATAAAGGGTTCAGTTCGACATTCCAACCACCTGAAGAAGGCCGGAGCGTACATCGGCCGAAACCTTGTGATAAATATGGCAACAAAGATGTGGATGATAGTCCGAACAATGTAATTTTTTTCTTTTTTTTACTTTTATCTTTCTTGATTTTCCTTTCTTTTAGATTCTTTCTTTTTTTTTGATTTTCTTTTATTTTACTTTCTTTTTTCTTTCTTCTTTTTTCTTCTTTTTTTTTTTTACTTTCTTTCTGTATTTCTTGATTTTTCTTTCCTTTTGCTTTCTTTCTCTCTTTTTCTACGATCTTCCGTTTATATGTGTGTAAAAGAATCACTTGTCACACTTACCTGTAACGTTGCTAATTTAAATAAATTCTAACCAAGCTGAAAATGAACATCCGGGTTCTTCTTACACTTATTGCTTGGCTAAATTTATTTTATAACTAATTCATTCAATTCCAGTTTATATAAATAAACACCGCCTTACTCATAAGGACGATGCATGACGCGGAATTTAAGTAAGGCACACTTCTTCAAGAAATAACCAGTCAGGTTCATTACATTCACAACGCGCAAATAACCTTGACAAAGGTATGAATCCACCCCCCCAACAAACTATGGGTTAAATAGTAGAACTTGTGTCTGGAAAAATCAGTATTATTCTCAAAAACAATTGTTAATGCAATATTGACTTGCAAAAAAAAATTCTTTTAATCCAAAATATTTCTCTGCTTTAAATAATAAAGTGTTGATAAACCGTAAAAACAAATCAATCAAGTAATCTTTTTTTTTTCTTTTTTTTTTTACATTACTAAAGATTACTAAAGATTAAAATCGCTCCCAATCATAAATATGACTATATATATATATTTCTTTTTTATAAATTTTAAGAGGTGTTAGGCCTTTTTGCTATGTAATTCATTATACACAAGCCCAAAATATGAAATAAATGAAAGAAGAAGAAGAAAAAGAAGAAGAAAAGATATGTGAAAAATAAATATGCTTTAAATTTATATTTCGCGTCTTCTTTTAATGATTTAAAATTCTGTATGTAAATATTATTTTTTTTACACAGCACTGGGAAAAGCTAAGTAAGAAGATACTTTCAATAATATATACGTACTTAAAAAAAATTTATAAACAAGAATATGCTTTCTTATGTGGTATCGGCATATGTTTTTATTTGACTTGCCTAGCAGTAATCAATTTACAATGAATTTACATATTAAATTGAACCCTAACTTATAATTTACAATTTTATTTCATTTTTGGCATTCGTGATCTGGAGAGTTTGTTCAATCTGGGAGGAAATGATTATTTTTTGGGGAGAGGTGAGTTTCTACAGCATCAGTTTAAGTAATTTTTGAAATTACATTGGTAATATTTTCAGCGTGCGTCATCTAGGATTTCTATCGATACAATTAATTATGTTGTCGCGTGTAAGAAAGAATTCCGCTTTTTAAATCATTAAAAGGATAAATATACAAAGAAAATTAACGAAACAAATAAATTAAAAGCAATGTACTAGCAATCTATTCTCATTATTTACGAATGAAATATTCCGTTGTTATGAAAACGCTAGGCGTGTTCGTTTATCAGCCTCGAGGAACTAATGTTACCATCAAATTGGAATATCTCATTCATTAATAAGTAAGAGGGACAGGCTGCGTGACTGATAAACATATAAAGTTAGATTGTTTTTTATATTATAGAATGTTTATGAGCACAGTCATCTAAATGTTTGCTTTCTTACTGCTAGTTCACCTAATATAAGGCCAAAGGGCCAATCAAGATAGAGAGTTACTGGAGTTGGAACGGGGATGTAAGAAATTCATATTACACTTTTTTTAAGTTTTGGTATCGAGAGTGAGGCAGTTGAGGTAACAAGATAGCAAAACCTCAAGTGGCATATATATATATATATATATATATATATATAAATTCTTTTAAGTAATTTTCCTTATACAAATTATATATTAATATTTTAAAATATAGGTCAAGGTTATTTTAACTGTCTTCTTGATCCAGACACTCCCACTTCTACTACCATGACATTGGGAGTTTTATGTCTAGACTCTACCTTCAGCTTCCTCTTTATTCTTCGTTCTCCCTTTCTTTTTCTTTTTCTTTTTCATCTTTCTCTTCTTCTTCCTTTATTCTTTAAATGTTTAAATTTTAAGCTCCCATTTTATTTTATTTCTTCACAACTCTGAGTTAACAAATTATATAAGTAAGTCTTTGGGGACCGAAATAGCTATTCGAATGGGTTAATTTTGGATTTCTGTTCTATGTAATTTATATGCTCTGTTATAATAAATACATTGAGCTATCTTTGTGGATCAGTTTTAATATTTTATGTTATTGGGATTCACTTGGATTATATACCAACGCATTATTACATATATATATATATATATATGTGTGTGTGTGTGTGTGTGTGTGTGTGTGTGTGTGTGTGTGTGTGTGTGTGTGTGTGTGTGTGTGTGTGTGTGTATATATATATATATGTGTGTGTATGTGTGTGTGTGTGTGTGTGTGTGTGTAAATAAATATAAATAAATATAAATATATATATATATATATATATATATATATATATATATATAATTATTTATATATTATCACCCGAATTAGTCACCAGAAAACACAACTGTAGCTGTACACTTCACCATGGCATCGAGAGTCCCCACCAGAAACTTCAGCACAGTCCAGATTCCATTCACAAAATGGCAGTACAATAACCCCAATATTATGCAACTGCTGATAGGAGAGCATTTTTTTTAGCAGGATTCCCTGTCTAACGCCAGTTCAGAGAAGTGTTTAACTCTTAATATCTTCTCGAAGAGGCAATGAATTCAAGGTTAGAAAGAATTTACAGGCATACACCACCCAAAGGGAAACCATAACGTTAATACAGGAATGAGGCGGTAGAACTTCTTCCTGGGTCAGAATCATCATGCCTAAGCAGGGACCAGGCACCGAGGCAAGGTTGCTCAAACATGAGGACGAAAGGACCCACTAAGAGAATCGAAGGTTACAAAAGCTACTCGGAGCTGGCAACTTCGATCCGCTTACTGTAGAATATGTATAATTTTCCTTCTTTCGATTCTATCTTAAAATGGTGTTAATGGTGTAGGGCGCCACGAGGTCAGGTAATGGCTAACAGGTTAATTTCATTGGCTACTACTACTGAGTAATAAGCCCCATAATCGTGGCCACAAAGCTAAGCACAATAAATGAACCCTTCGAAGAGGTAAAGCTTAGTTTACCTAGCTAGTTTACTAAAGCTTTCCGCTGGCATGAATTTGAATTATTATATTGAATCAATTTCTAGGTTTGCCGCTAGGAAAGTTTGTTCACTGTGTCGTGGTAGACATTTTTTCTTCCGGAATTTATAAGTCTACCATTCGTCCATGCATTGAATATTACTACCAAATCTGATCCGGTGCTTCTGCTATGTATTTAGAGATTCTTGATAAAATAACAAGAAGAATCTGCAATATTATTGATCCTGACCTGGCATCTTAGCTTCAGTTATTTTTCTACCGTAGTAACATATATTCCCTGTGCCTTTTCTATAAATATTTTCGTGGTACCGAGACTTTATGAATTTAAACGTACTAATAAATTGGCAGCTAAGTCTCATTCTTTTAAAGTTGAAATTCTTAGAAGCAACCGTAAGTTCTATGCTAAGAGTTTCTTCTCTCGTATTTCTCGCATTTGAAACTCTCTTCCGGCCTCTTGCTTTCCAATCAACTTTGATCTTCAAAAATTTAAATGTAATGTCAGTTGTTATCTTCTGTAATCTTAATCCCTGTTCTTTTATTCTTCTCCCCCTTAATAATCTTTTCATATAATCTCTCACACTCAGTAATCCTCAGTGGCTTTGCTTGGAGCGAAATCATTTTAAAAAACATTAGTGAGATTGATTTTTACTGGATACCCAACACTTGTAGCCTTATTCCAAACTAATTTAAGTTTAGTATATGGGCGTCTCGTACTGGTGGTGGGAGTAATGGGTAGCCAGCTAGTTACCTAGCTAAGATGATCCTCACTAGGTGCCCTATATATACTTAGTAAATAACGCATGACTCCTTATTGTGGTTTATTGTTTACAAACTGAATTTGTAAATCTTTAGTAGAGTTCGGTCCCCACTACGCTCCCTAATTGTGGCCTTGTGCCTAACTCAGCTAAGCTTTGTAAGTAAAACAGGGCTCCTTATCGGTCAGAAAGCTGAACGTGTAAATCATTAACAATGAGTTCGTTCCTGAGTGCCCCATACTTGTAGTCTTACGCCAAACTAACAAGAAATCTATCTATCTTTTTTTTTAATCAGTATCACCCCCAAGCAAGGCAGTACAGCCACTAGCATGCAAGGGGGTACAGGGTGTGGGCGAATTAAGAACAGAAACATTAGTAATGAGAAGAAACAGAAAAGAGCAATCAGGAGGACAGTAACTTTTATAAGTGGCATAAAATAATTTACAAATTTTGAAAAATTAATGTTTTTCTTTTTAATCATTTCACCCCCAAGCAAGGCGGGAATGTCACTGGTACCCAGAGGTTACAGAGAATTAAGATGAGAGAAAAGACTGAATATGGGGGGGGACCGAAGAAAGGATAAAAGCTGAATGAGGTTCAAAAGATAGAAGATGGTGTTTAACGTTGCATTCAAATTTTTGAAAATTGTAGTTATCAGGGAAGCAAGAAAACCGAAGAGAGTTCCACAGGCTGGAAGTGCGAGAAAAGAAACTATTGGAGTAGAAGTGGCGGTGACATTTAACTAATTCAACATTAAAAGGGTGGGACCTAGATGCCAATCTAGTATCACGCTTAAACTCACGTAGCTTGAACACCAGATTATTTCAAACGTTATTTTAATGGATACCATTTTATTTTAAGCAGCAGTTATTTCGGCTACCGGCCTATAAACATGAGAAAACTTATTAAAGAAAATGTGACCTATTTTATCGTGTGTGCAGACAGATAGACAAAATAAATAAATACTTTTAAAAATAAAACAGAACGACTACTCAAATACGAGTCGTCGCAAAAGAGAATGTTTGAAGTAATGAAAATATGTTAGATTAAAAAATTAAATACATTTATTTTACATATATATATATATATGTGTGTGTGTGCGTGTGTGTGTGTGTGTGTGTGTGTGTGTGTGTGTGAATAAAGACAAAAGGAAAATCCATCTCAGCTGACGCGTTTCGTTCTCTGAGGGACTTTATCAAAGCAAATTTATCATTTGCCTTGATAAAGTACCTCAAAAGCCGAAACGCGTCGGCTAAGTTTTGTCTTTATTCATATTGTCCTTTTTACAGATATACTCTAAACATTTTA